TATATATACATATATAACGATACACCTTTATATTTGTACACTCAACTATATTTACTTACAACTACACTGATTGTTATCACGTTCAATAGATATGCATATTACTATTATTAGTAGTATTATTATCATTATTATTTGTATAACAATTTCCTGAGGGATCAATAAAGTTAAATCTAATCTAATCTAATATATTAATTTGCTATACAATCTTGCAATACATAGTAATTAATAAACCGAACCTTGAATAACAAGCCTTTATCGAAGCAGCTTAAACACAGCGACATTAATAAACATAGTATCTACACATTCACACAGTCAGCACTTTATTGCCGGTTCCCTTCTCCTTTCCTTATCTATCTGCAGCAGCTGTGTTACTTTCAGCTCCTGTTATATTATAAACTCCTTATATTGGTTTTAAGGTTATACACTGTTACCCATAAAGTTAGAATAACATACTTTTCAACCTCTTCTCATGGAATAATTGTGACAATGGGATTTATTCTTGATCGATGAAGTGGATATCTTCTCAAAACTTGATTTCACAATATGCATATCACAGTAAAAATTAAACCACAGTTAACTTTTGCACACTGTGTATTCAGGCTTAAACAAAGTTGCGGGTATTGAACAGTAGGATTAAGGGTTTCGTTTCAATTTTTCCAACCCTGGCTGTAAAACAGGAAACACATATTTAAGGGGATTTCATGCATTAGAATGTCCAATACTACTCTTTAAAATGTCCCTCAGTCACTAATATTGAGTCTGGCCGCCCCTGACACAGATCAGTGTGTTCAGACATGATGGCGTACTGTCCACCAGCTTGTTGATGGTCTCAGTGTTCAGGACGTCCCACTCTTCAGTCAGAATTCGCTTCACCTGGTACCTGGGTATCATTGCACCTGGTCAAAAGTGATTACTGATGTGCATCAATAAAAATAGAAGAGGAAAACTTCAACTGGACATCAGTTCTGTTGACTAGTTTGGAGCTCCAGATACTAAAATTCTTAGGGAGTTGTTAGAATTAAGTTTGTTTCGAGCTATTATGTATTCTGAATCTGTATTTTGCACTGAGCCTATGATTCTGTTTCGTATTGTCCTACTGAGAACAGCATACGTCCTTGAAGATAATGTGGCCGGTGAGAACCGGTTCGCACACTTGGAGATAGTGGAAACTCCTCTTTTCTATTAGATACGATTGTTACTTTAGCTACACGCCGTACCAACAACATCCACACACACTGCTTACTAAATATCAAGGACNAAAACACGCAGGATTGCGGCCCTCGAGGACCAGGATTCGACACCCCTGTTCTAGCCACTCATGACCCATCTGTGTTGCACCGACCACATCCTGTAGGAGGAAGCAGGAAGCTGGAGTCTATCCCAGCTGACACTGAACAGCCTGGACATCACAGCAGCACATAATCTGACAACCGTTCATGCTGACCAATTTAGAATCGCCATATAACATAATAGCTGAGGCCTAGCCCAGTCTCCAGGCACAAAGGGTGCACATGAGTGTCATGATAGGTTATGCACAGTAAGGTGCATACAGAACAGTGCATGGAGGTACAAATGGGTTCCTCAGCAAGCTACAAGTGCACTAAGAGCACGCACAAAAAAAGTACAAGCAGTGCCCTGACTGTCAGACTTTGTCATAAAGGAGCTGGGCTGCAGGTGCAGCAGTAGGATTGAGACTGGGCTCCGCTCCAACCAGTTGATGGAAATCAGGAACAGTACAGGCAGGATGCAGCGGCACAGCAGAAACCAGACCTGGCCAACAGTCTGCACATAATAATTTAACAAGACAAGACAAAAAAAAAACAAAAAAACAGAGAAGTAGGGGAACCAAAGACTCTCAATAGATTTGATAAAGATCACAATGCACTGTCAGCTGAGCAAAATGATGGGCCCTGCTGCTTGCTATGAGACCAACGAGCCAGCAGATGGAGGTAAAATTTTGTTAAAGATGTTCTTTTTCCTAAATTATAAGTTCATCATTAATGGTTGTTGTCATGACAGAAAATGTAATTACAGGCGACAAAGTCCAGACAAACTGAATTTTTTAAAGGATGCATACAGGTTTTTTTTTTTATCGAAACAATTGTCCTCCTTTCCTGCCTTTTTGGCATTTAAAACAGAAATACTACTAAATACACGTAGTCTGACCACAGAAAGAAGCAGGTGCAAGACTCCAAAAACAAAAGAGATACTCTAGCTGCAGAAAGAGGAGGAGCTAAATGATGATAAAAAAAAAAAAAACAAAAGATAATTAGTAGTATGTAGTATACGAAAGCTTGGATTTCTTAGCATTAAAATTTACGATTTAGTGGCGCTTCATCTGAAAGAGAACTTTCGCTGTTGTCAATCAGTGTGTTTATGCAGGCTAC